AAATTGATATACAGTCAATAAAACTCTAATAAACTCTGATTTTAAAGTTATATGAAGAAATAACTTCCTGGTGTCTTCGGGGAAGTTGTTAATTGTCCTCCTTTTGGTACAATTTATCTTCCAGTGGGACACAATCCTCTGTACGATACGGAACATCCGTAAAAGTGGTAAATTCATGAAATTGGAGTTAGAGCTGTGCAGTTTTTTTTTAGCCTGGAGGGCTAAGGCTGGTCCATTGAAAGATCCGGCACATGTGTAAAAGTGGTCAATTCATTCAACTGGTTCTAGAGCTCTATGGTTTTTTGCGAACACACTCGTTGATGTGTTTTTAGAATTAATTTCACATTGTGGCCAAAATACGGACCCTGGGGACCACACACTGGTCCTCCGGAAGATCCGGAACATCCGCAAAAGAGGTAAATTAATTAAACTGGTCCTATAGCTGAATGATTTTTTGCGTATTCATTTGTGGTCAGAATATGCAATATATTGATCTTCTTTGAGATCCCGAACATGCGTGAAAGTGGTAAATTCATAAAACTGGTCCTAGAGCCCCATGTTTTTTTTGCGCAATCACTTGTTGATGTGTTTTCTGACTGGTATTAAGGCCAAATTATGCACCTTGGACGCCACAAACAGGTTACCCAGATGATCCGGATTATCCATAAAAGTGGTCAATCAGGCTTGCGACAGCGTATGAAAAATCCGGGAAGTTTTCATATATTTTTGGACAACTTTGCAGTAAACAGTTATTTCCCAGAATGTCAAAATCAGGTATGATACATGCACAAGCTCTTACGTTAACTAGCGCCATGTAGTGAGTAGGTTCCACACTTTTTTTTGTAATTACTTTATTTGTACAGGCTCAATCGAATAAACTTTACAGAGCCGAGTTATTTTTTGCGTTATACATTATTACTATCTTATATTTAAAGTTAAAGGAACCGAGTACTCGCGGTTGTCTCGAGGTTAGTGGAGATTTACAATTTTGAACATTGAAAAAAAAAAACCCACACGTACAAAATACAAACTAAACACAAGGTTAATCAAACTTACAATCTTAGGTTAATATCCTTAAAGTAAACATATATGAGTTTCATAAACTCCAGATCGCGTCTAGCCAAAATATCCCGAACTGAAACATTAGGTTGTCTACCTCGAGCCTAAAGGCAATCATAAAAATGTGATCTGACTCCACGATACTCCGCACAAGACCAAAGGATGTGATCATACAACATGCTAAAAGATCATGTGGATGTAATATGGCATACGGCGAACCTCGATAAGCTTTTTTACCATGCTAGCAGATGCCACTCTGCCGTAATATCAGGAAATACCTTGACTAACATCATGTTGACGTTCGCCACATGCAATGTTTCAGCATAATGTTTTGACATGCCACATCGTCGCCACAGTAGTAGAGCAGTGGGTCTCTGACATTACTCGTGGTGCCCACTCGTGGGCATGTTTTGTGGCGTAAGAGGAATGTTTACATGATGTTTTGACATGCTAGCACATGCCACACCACCACAACCGGTTAAGAAAATTCAGTAAAGAACGTGGGGGGTACTAGGCATTAGAATATAGTATTGCAATGGTTATACGTCTTAAGAATATATACGCAAAATTAGGAACCTGGCAATACAAAACTTCCCCCAATAACCCACTTAATTCTATGTGAAAAGTTAATGTTCGCTTTATGCAACAGCTTTTGACCATCCATATTCAGTGTCATTACATGTTGCCGAATATGTTATACTGCGATACGCAGATGTATCATGAACAGAAACTAACGCACGCAACCCTTGCCGAATGGTACATATGAATATAAAGATTCTTTCGAAAATACCGTCAGTAGTAAATGATTTTTTGTAAACGTATTTGATCATCGATGAAGCAAGATTTATTTTTCTCTATTTCTTTATGTGCCATGATTCGTCATCTCGCCGATACGAGGAAATCAGTTTAGTTTACTGACACATGGTCCAACGGTTTCGGAAATACACGTGAATTATTCAGTGAACAGTGAAAATTTCAAACACTGACTCATGCCGGCGCCGGTGGTGTAGTGGTAAAGCGTGAATGCTTTTTCACCCCAATGGGTCTGGGTTCAATCCCAGCCGAGGTCGGTGGGATTTTTCTGAGGCATAAAAATCTCTGGTCACGTCTTCCTTCGGAAAGGAAGTAAAGCCGTTGGTCCCGGCCCATGTGTGTTGAATTGAATGGGTGAGATATCCTACGCAGGTGTGGAAGCTGCCTTCCTGCACATTCGATTGCCGTCAATGGAAGGCAATCGATGTCCGTCGGTGATTGGCACTAGATTGCGGAACGTCGACCGACGTTAAATATAGAAAAAAAAGACTCATGCTATAAGCTACCTCTCTCTCAATCTAAACAATATGGTGATGTGACGTCATGGTTGAACAAATCCCTCCCCCTCCCCTCCTCTGTTTTTCACATTTGGTCAGCGTTTCTTAAACCCCCTCCGCCTCTAGACGCGTGACGGCATTTATGGATGCACTTTTAGTACCACAGCACCAGAGAAATTTGGCTTCACTCGTCAATGATAGAGCCATCAAAAACATTCGGTCACTAACGGTGACTCACGCAATATCACAATTCCTTAAATAAGATTCCTGTGGTCTAACGTACACTTTTACGCATCTGGAGAACTTTATAAATGTGCTGCCTGAGCTACCAAATGAGTGCTCTGCTGTCAGTGACTTGTTTACTTCCCAATCATTCAAACTAATGAAATCACTGACTATTTTTCGCGCTGCCTTATAGTATACTCTTGCAATTGGGTGAATTAATTCCATGATTTTGTAAATCTTACACAAATGACCAAACTCATACTGTCCAAAAACCTTTGCACAGGGTCTTTTTCATTTTTTTTTGCCATATATGTCGGGGCTCGGGGCAGCTACGAACATTAGAAGTTTTGGGCATTTATGATTTTTGGTGATTTTTCGCACAACTTTCCATCTTGTAACTTCCGTGCCTTCGGTTTGTCGTTTCAGAATCTTCTATTTCTTGTACGTCTTTAGGCCGTTTCTTGCCTTGTCACTACGGACGATACTCGTCGACGTTCCCAGTTTTTAGCCAAATCTCGAACAAAGGCACTTTTCTATTAGTAAAAAATATAAGTGATCTTCTAGCCCAGCTGTTGCTCCAGATTTAGGCCAGATTTTGTTGTGTCCTGAATAGTATTCTTCTCATAAGACTTCCAGATGGTGGTTCGGGCTGCTTTGATATTTACTTCCTCTACTTTCGCCAATTTCTGAGTGACAGGTTGGGAATGGAGCACGATTTGTGATGCCTGGGTTCACGGTCCCTTCAAACGGTCTAGTAGGCTTTTCTTGATCTATATCTCGATGGTCGCTTCAATAGCGAGCTATGGGTAGTTGACTGTAATTCAAAAATGGCACTGGCTTAGAAAGCTATCAATTAATAACTGTGGAAGTGCAAGAACACTAATTTTAGGGCCGGCGCAATGTCCCAGTTCCTAAGCAACACACATGTTCTATAATAGTTCATATAAACTTTGTATGACTGTTTTTGGATGTAAGGCAGTTTACGAAACATAATTCTATGAATTTGTGTTACTTGACTAGGGACCTAATAAATCCAAAGAATAAGATAGATCTAGTATTTAAAAGTTTGTATCGATTGTATGTACATCATAGTGTGCAAGCAACTTTGCCGTACATAGGAACCTAATGGTAGATTTTGTGTTTTGACATTAACAGGAATATCTATTCTGTTTTGGTGTGAATTATAAGTTTAAATCGTCTCCACAACTTAAGTTGGACATTTTTTGGGCTTATGAAAAAAAAAATTTTTTTGCCAGAGTCTAACTTTAGTTAAGATAATAAAGATAATTCACCGAAGCGCTGCTCTTCAAGTAGTTGAACTCATGAATATATTCATCCCGAATCAACAGTCAGTGATATCATTAAGCTATGCTAATTGAAACATCTCGCCCTCCCTAGTCCTCTACCCCCTTTCAAATGTTTTAGCTTGCAGAAAACGGATCCTGTACTAACACCCGTCTCACCAGTTCACATGTTTGCACAGATTTTGACTCAATTACCCGGTGAAATACATCTTCGGTTGTTTTGTTTTACCAACCGGATTCGCGCAACCCCCCTCGCAAACCAATTCCTAACAGGTGTGGGTGTACCGAAAAACATTCAAATTTGGCATTTCGTAATCGGCAAGACGCTTCATCACATCAGAGGGTGGCCCCGTGAGATAAGAATAAGGAGACGCAAATCATGTTCACTTACGTATAGCTGCTTTCGGTACTGAAAGAAACAAAGGAACGATGGAATTATGTCGTTAAGGAGCCATTTCCTACATCCCACAACTGAACTGAATGATAAGAGCTCCGTTGTTTCAAATCTGGCGCACATCTCACTCGCGCTAAAAGCTGAAAACGCGGTACACTTTTGTAAACAGATTGCAGCTGCAGACTGACACGTGTTGTCTCGAGAAGATGCCATCTTAATTTCCCACCAGTGAAGAGGCAGTCAGTAATCGTTGCCTTTTGTGGGAAAGCTAGTTTTCTTTTCGTAGATTTGTACCATTTTCAAGGGTGAAAACTTGCACCAAAGTCTCCAAGTTGTGACAAGACAGTCACGTGAATTCCCGAGGAGTCATTCTCCCTCGCGGAACTATTTCCACGACAGCGCATTCGTTGACTGAAATATGTCTCCAGTTGCCAGCCAGTTGGCGAGAAACTTTGTCTTTTGGGGGAAGATGTTTGCAACGAGGCTTTTCTGGAAGGTAAATTGGCTTCCTTTGGGGGGGAAATTCCTACCGTTTCAAAGCTGTGATTGCACTTGAACAAAGTTTACAAATAAGCAGATTCTTCGAGAATAACTAAAGATTATTTTTCTCGAAAATGTCAAAGTATTATATTTACTATACAAATAGAAACATTTCTGAACCTTTTTAGAAAATATTGTTTTATGAAAGTCTGTATTCGTTCCTTACAGATCTACTGCATGTCTGATTACGACATCTCGTCGATAGAACACGAAGCGTTGCTGCTGGTGGTGGCGTCCACTTTTGGCAACGGAGATCCTCCGGAAAATGGCGAGGTAAGTCCATCAGCACAAATTCAATATCCACTTCAAAGCTACTAACCCACTTACATTCATCCACTTCCGCTTTTTCCCATATCCAAAGTATTTTTTGTTAAGTTTCTCATCGTGGTAAAGGGATAACTTTCACTAAACTTATCTACTGTAAATAACTAACATTCGCATCAGCTTGTATCCGCTGGCCCGGTCCACGTGCTACTGCCATCGGAAGTGACTTAACGATTTGCGACCGATTTTCTGCTTGTCTTCGTCCCTTTCCAAGGATTTGCTTGCCACTGCTGGCATGTTATTACTCATTTCTGGTTGGTACTATCCACACATAACTTTGCGACGGTGATGGTGGCGGCTAATCTTCACACACTCAACTTCTAGGATTCCATGTGTATAGATGGGACGAGAAATGGTAGTTTGCTACTTGACATGATTCCCGAAAATAATCAATCTTCATGGGAAAATGTGGTTCGCGGTTGACGCTTCGTGTCGTAACGCAAGCTGCTGGCGTTTTCTTCTACCAGACGGAGCTAATTTTATACATTTGGTTTGATTTATGCACATGGCATAATACACAGAGGGGAACCTATGGGAAAAGTGACTTATGATGTGTGATACGAAATTGTCTGATATGGGATATTTATTTCTCTCCATGATTCAGATCAAAGGGAATTCATTTTTACAGAGTTGTGACCCTGATGCGTTTGCTTGAATTTCAACACTTTGGACATTGCACCGTAAAATCCAGGTATTTTTAACATTTTTTCAGAAGCCAGTGCTCTTTCAGTACTGAAATTAAAAACTATGTAGCATTCTACTAGATATTAGCTTACAGGGGAAAATATGCAAGGAGAAATAAATCAGTTTTAACATGAATTCAGATGAATGTGGGTGTTTTATAAGTGCTCTGAGACTGACATATACGAGTGTAAATTTTGGCATAAAATTGAGTCATAATAGACAGCTCAATCAAACGTACATTCGAACTTTTCAGTCTCGGAGCACTTAATTTTACATGACATCTTTGTTTACGTCTCATTCTTATGTCAAAGATGGGTTTCCGTCACGTATAAGGTTAGGTATTTCTAAGTGTGTGTATAATGTCAGTTTCAACTTTCTAAAACGGCTTGTATATCAACTCGAAAAATTGAACTAATAATGAACAAAATATCCAACATTCAGAGCCTATAATCGCATATCAGTCCCATATGGATTTTCGTCAATTTTATGATAACAACACTATCCACTTTCAATTGGCATCTACTTTCATATTTCGTGATAAAACTACGGACTTTAATCATGAAAAAAGGCCGTAACTGAATACAACGGAAGGATTGGAGATGGGTATGTGAAGACATCAATAACGTTCCAGCAGCTGCAAGGATGCATAAAGTTCTTTCAAAAGACCATTCAAATGGTCTTGGCAGCCTAAAAAAAACGATGGTAGTTTTACTGCTGACTCTTCTGAAACACTGGAAGAAATTAGGGCTCACTTCCCAGAGTCGACTACATTTTCACCTAAAGAACAGGGCTTTGAAATGGCGAGCCATGAATGGTCAATAGATGCCGATCAGAAAGCTTGTGAAATCTTCACGTCATCTAGAGGTGAATGGGCATTGAGTTCTTTTCAACCTTTCAAATCTGCCGGGAAAGATGAAATATTCCCAGGGCATACAACAGGGCAAAGAAACGCCTCAGCCCTTATTTAACAAAGCCAGTGTTACTCTGACCTACATACCAAAAGCATGGAGAAAGGTTCAAGTTGTTTTCATTTCAAAAGCAGGAAAGAGAAATAAAACGACTCCGAAAGCCTTTAGACTCATAAGCCTTTCATCTGTTCTGTTAACGATAATGGAAACAATTCTAGATCATTTCATCAAATCAACAAGTTTCACGAGATTACCTCTTAGCATATTCCAATTTGCTTATCAATCAGGTAAATCTACGGAAAACGGCTCCTCAATTGCTAGTTAATAAAATAGAGAAGTCGCTAAAGCCAAGGAAAGTGTTGTGGTTGCTTTTTTTTTATATTGAAGGTGCATTCGACAATACAGCTCAATGCGTTCAGCTATGGAAGCAAAGAGTTTGTATAACTGCCTTATTCATTGGATAATTGCAATGCTCACAGATCGAGAAATATCTGTTTATCTGGAAGATGCCCAACTAACTATAAATTGGTGAAGGGTTGCCCTCAAGGAGGGTACTATCATCCTTATTGTGGTCTTTAGTAGTGGACGAACATGAGCTTCAAGTGGTGTAGGAGAAAGAGCTTAAATGTAAACCCTTCAAAAACTGTCATCGTTTCTTCCACCAAAAGAACACAAGTTATGTTGGTACAGCCTACTCTAGATGGGGTTCAAATTCAGTTCGCGGAATAAGCTAAATAAAGGGTGATACGGTCAAAATTTGGTCAAGGGAAAACGCGTGTAAATCGGTGAAATCGTTTATTTAAAAAATCAAATTAAATTTCTTTTTCAAGTTCAATTAGTATAAAATTCAGGAAAAATATTCAGTTAGGCTTCCGCTTTTCCAAATCCGAATTGCCGGGCCTTACGCTTGACCCCTGCCATCAGATTTTGTACAGCCACCTTGTCCACCTTCTTCGCCACAGAAAGCCAGTTTGCCTTGAACTGCTGCTCGCCCTTAGCAGTTTTTTTGGTCTTCTTTAGGTTCCGCTTGACAATAGCCCAGTATTTCTCAATTGGGCGGAGCTCTGGCGTGTTGGGAGGGTTCTTGTCCTTGGGAACCACCTGCACGTTGTTGGCGGCGTACCACTCCATGGCCTTTTTACCGTAATGGCAAGATGCCAAATCCGGCCAAAACAGTACGGAACAACCGTGTTTCTTCAGGAAAGGCAGCAGATGTTTATTCAAACACTCTTTCACGTAAATTTCTTGGTTGACAGTCCCGGAAGCTATGAAAATGCTGCTTTTCAAGCTACAGGTACAGATGGCTTGCCAAACCAGATATTTCTTTGCGAACTTTGACAGTTTCATGTACTTGAAAACATCTGCTACCTTTCCCCTTCCTTTTGCCGTATAAAACTCCTGTCCCGGAAGCTGCTTGTAGTCGGCTTTGACGAAGGTTTCGTCGTCCATTACCACGCAGTCAAACTTCGTCAGCATCGTCGTGTACAGCCTCCGGGATCGCGCTTTGGCCGTCGTATTTTGTTTATCATCGCGATTTGGAGTCACTACCTTCTTGTAAGTCGATAGTCCGGCTCGTTTTTTGGCTCGATGCACGGTTGTAGACGATACACCCAGCTTATTTGCGGCATCTCGGAGAGAGAGGTTAGGGTTTCACTTGAAACTACCGGCAACTCTCTTTGTCGTCTCAGCGGCTTCCGGTTTTCGATTTCCCCCCGATCCAGACTTCCTGGCTGTCGACAAACGTTCCCCAAACACTTTAATTACATTTGTAACGGTTGATTTGGCAACTTTTAGCGATTTTGCCAAATTTGCGTGCGAGTAGCTCGGATTTTCGCGATGCGCGAGCAAAATTTTGATACGCTGCTCTTCTTGCTTGGACGGCATTTTGACAACTGAAGAGTGAATTCCAAAATCAAAATAGGAGCAACATTCTACACACACACACCTTCAAAATGAGGGGTGTTCAGGTTTTTTAAATGCAAAATTGAAAGAAATACGTCAAGTTGATATTGACCAAATTTTGACCGTATCATTCTTTACCTGGGTGCAGGGATGGAAAATCATTTACATTCATTTCGTGCATCCATTTACATTCATTTGCCTTTAACTTTTGTCATCAACAGAACTCCGTTAAATAGTGTGCGTAGCTTTTGTAGGTCTTGATATTAGCTACATCTTTTATAAACAACTCAAATCTGTATCTCTTATGCATGATGAATCAGAGCGATAAGAACCCACCATTGTTATGTAAATTGCATTCACTGAAAAACAATAACATGTTCTGCCAGCTCTATTTCGTCATGCATAGGAGATTCAGATTTTAGTTACCAACAAAAGTTGTTGTTAATATCAAAAGCTACAAAAGCTTCATATATCATTTAACGATATTCTGTTGATGAAAAAAGTTACAGGAAAATGAATGTAAATTAATGCTCGAAATGAATGTAAATGATTTTCCATCCCTGCCTAGGTGTTGCTTTGTTATTACTTCGGAAACAAAATTGGAACTCTTATCTCGATAAGGTTATCACTAAGGCTAGAAATGCGCTATGGGTTTCCAGTAAAGCTGTGGGGAAAACATGGGGACTACGACCCATGGTATACTGGAAACAAGCACCGTTTGGCGAGACCGGATGGAATTCGATTTTGAAATCTATGTTAGAGCAAATGCTTTTTGCAGGCAATCGGTGATAATTTTGATCACCGTTGCAACAATTGGACATTTGTGTAATTTTCAATAGTGACCTATTGAAAATTGATAAAGTGTTTATTTAAGCAGATTCATAGAAAAATTTCCAATCGATTGGCTAATTTAGAATTAAAATCCATCCGCTATTGACAGAGTTATAAGTGGTCAAAATCTGACGATTTTTCGTAACGCGGTTGATTTTAGTTTTTTTGAAATTGCATCCCCAATATGTTGCCGAAAGACGTAATGCTACATCAAAAATTATGGGCGCACAATTTTCTCAATTTGTTTGTCTTACAGATCTCGAATTGTGAAGTCCCAGCATTAAAAAAAATTGTCCAAAACTGTAAAATTTATCCCTAAGTCCTAAATGCATTCTAATAATGTTTTATATCCGTGATCCTTCCATCCGATAATTTTCCTCGTTCCATAATAATGAGATTTTTTCTACGACTGCGATCTGGAAAAGTTGCCTTAGTCCCAGAGTTTTGAATTGTTTTCTATGTTTGAGGTGTTACAGAAGATTCCCTCCCAGGAATGGAGCAAAGTAAAAAGACGACCGGTCTGTTATAGCAACTACAAATAAAACAATAATATTTTTATAAAAATACTCATGGCTAACTTAGATATACATTTAATTCTAGACTGCAGATCTTCACGTTTCTAAA